GATAACCCATTTTATCCATTGTGCAGTAGATATTTTAGAAATGAATTGCTGTATGGTTTAATTAGTTCATTATTATGCCTATTCTTACACAGTAATTTCTTTTATCATTCTAATCATTCACTTCACACTTTTTAAACCAAATGGAATATCAAAGGTTCTGTAGGATTATTTTTGGATCCTGCACATGTTTCACCACACAATTAATCTGTTTGTCAGAAATACTAGTTAACTTCTTCTCTTTACTACTTTCCTTTACTAGTAATTTTTCTCTATTATATAAGATGAAACTACCTGTAAAAGGACAGAATTTTGATGGTTTTACTCATTTTATTAAATATTTTTCATTTGTGCACTCACCATCACTATAAAATATTTTAATTTTTATAAACTTTTATAATTGAATCTTTTCCTTTATTTATATCTCATCTGCAATATTTATTTAGTCTTTTTACATGTCTTTACTTAGTTAAAATGCAGAGAGATAAATATGGCTGTTACTTTGCAGGGAAGATTCAGTACATTAATATAAACTGTACACAATTCCCCCAAAGCATATATATACGTTGTAAACCTGAAGACTTTTTACACAGCTGCTTATTGCTAAACAGTGCCTTGTCCAGAAGGGGACAATCTGTGTCTCTAATTGCTGTCACTGAAGCTGAGATTCATTATGTGACTTTCCCATTAAAATGTGAGCATTAATTTGTATAATGAAATATCACCCACTGCAGTGTTCATTAGCCATGCCCTACTGTATACTGCACATTGTTAGCTACCTAGAAACTGTAGTTAATTTCACTAATGGATATTTCCCTACTTAGTGTTTGGTAGGAAATTTATACTGTAACATTACCTCTTAAACTTTTAAGGAAATTTAAATTCAATCAATTATTTTCAACAAAAGTTTGGGATGTCATTAAGACAGGAGAAAAGGCATGCTGTACAATGTTAAGGATGGGAAATCTGGAGGAATCTAGAGAAATGAAAAGTCCTTTTAGTTCATCTTAGAAATGTAAGAATAAAGGATGTTCAATACCAAAATTGTCTCCTCTTGGAGCACACATACCCATTTTCCTTAATTATTCATATTGCTCATCCCACTACAAGCGCCTTCAGAGAATGGCAACAGGCAGTCTTTTTTTAGGAAGGAAATGTGAATTGAATTCATTTAAAACAGCACCATTTTTACTGTATTTCATCAGTTCATCTGAGCATGGTTTAAAATTGGCTAGTCACATTTCCAAGGGAAAATGCAGTAACACTGTAAATGCATATAATACATCTAATATATGCTAGTTGTGTGTCACACATATCGTAACAGACTCTCAGTCAATGCATACTGCCCTGCCAAGCTTTTTCTTCCTATTCATCTCTTTCTTAGGTTCCTTCTGTTTAGCACAATCCAAACCATCTTTCCTTTGCTCATGCACATTATCCTTTTTTCTTTACTCAAGGGATTTAATTTTGTCTGTCATATTAGGAATACACCTGAGCATCTAATGACAGCACAAACCCAAACTGGTCTATATCTGCAGTAGCTTCTGAGGGCTAATGCAAGGTGCAGAGAGGTGCTAAAGCCAATCTGAAACCAGCTCCTACATAATGTGTCCCCTGTCAAGGGCAGGACATAAGAAATTTTAATATTTTACACTTAACTGTTCCTGCATAGTCCAAAGGTCAAGGCATACAATGCAAACCCCACACCACTTACTGTGTTTCAGGGGGGTTGAAAGTGCTCAGGAACATAAAGGAGATGCTCAACTCCTTGAATGAAGGGACCTTAAGTTGTTGCCTCCAGTGGGGCAAAAGGACAACTCTAGAAGCACCTGCATATGGCACATTATTAGTCTGAGATACTCAGATGGTTTTCTTTTTCACAAAAACAGCACCTCTGAGCTTTTTGTGTTATAGCCTTCTCAGCTGCATGAGAAGCTGTTAAGTGTTTTATAGCAAGGAGACTGGCTCCCGAAGTGGGCAGGCCCCCCATCTGCCTGCCAGGCACTGCTGTGCACAGACACACTCTGCCCCCCCCCTGCCTCCTCCCCGAGAGTTTGTGTGAGCCGGGAGGGCAGCACAGCCCATCTCTGGCCACTGCTCAGCATCAAGAACTCATAAAGAGTTCTGTCTATCCTCTCTAAGACCCAAGGCTCCCAAGTACTTTGGCCTGAAAGTCCTTCCTTTCTTCATTCAGGGCTGCACCAGGGAATTGTCTCACCCATCAACTGTTTTTAGAGCAAGAAAGAGGAGAAACTGATTTCAGATAATTATGCCCTTTTCTTCTTACCACATGGGAACAATCAGAAATCATATCTTACTATCTTCCCCTTAAAGCTCTTCCTGCCTGAATATCCCTGAGCTAGACAAGAAAAATCCTTTACAGTTGTGTTTGGACAAAACTGAGTGTGCTAAATAAAACTTTGAATTTTTTTGATTTTTCTTTTACCATCACAGGCTTATTATGTGATCGTAAACTACACAGAAACCAGGGCTCAGTGTGGAGTAGGTTGCAACCATGAAATATCCAACAGGAAAAAAGAAGCAACCCAAGCCACTGTCTAATTCTTCAAAAACAGAGCACAGCTTCCTCCTCTGGTGCAAGATTAAGCTGCTTCTCCAGCTTTTTTGGGCCAATTGCCACAGAAGCACCTCCTGGCTGGATGAGACTTTGGGTCTGCTCTTGGCATGGGTACCAAACCAACCCAGTCTTGTGCCTCCAAACACACAGATGTTCGAAGGAACCCGACTTCTGCTGAACTGCTTGAGCTCATCTCTAACAAACAGGTGCTGTGAGAACAAGAACAGTAATTGAGTTAATGTAGTGGAGAAATACAGTAAAGTGTTTTTTATCAGTCAGTTATATGATCCAGGCATATAATAAAGACAGAGTGTGACATAAAAGGCAGGAAACTGTCCCTGAGAAGTATGAGCTAGCCAATATTTGTTTAATAACTGATATCTATTGCATCATTTCCACTTACTGCAAAGCAACTTAATTTTTATTTAATAACTCTAGTAATTTGCCAATTTACATTTTTATATTATTTATTAGGATTATTTCCAATATGTAAAACATTGCTTCACTTAAGCATACTCTTGTCATTATTTACAAATACTTTGTTCTCAACCTAATGGAAATTGGTCTTTACCTATTTTAAAATTATAATCATTTTTAAATACATTGTAAATGTTGTTTCCATAGTTTCTTTAAATTTTTTTTTTATATTATACAGTTTACTTTTTTCATGTTTTAATTTTCTTTAGTCAGTATTAATATGCAATTTTTATGGAATATTTCCATTGTAATTAATTTACTTTCCATTAGTTCTAAGGCACAAATACCCAGTGTATAATCACTGCCATGTTTAACATAAGAACAAAGTGCTCACTATGTAATAAAACAAAATGAAGAGCTGGGTAACCTCATGTTACTTTAAAGATTTTTTTTTTTTTACCTCAAATACTAGAAATGTCAAACTCTTTAACCTCCAGAGTTATAAGATTATTTTTCAATAAAATAACTACAGTTTCTTTACTTTTACTACATTGGAGACCACACAAATAGGGTTTTCACTGGGTTTCTTCTCCTCCCCCCCACCAAAGTCCAACACACAGAGAAGAATTTTCTTGCCCTAAATAGTTTGCAATCCAATCAGACAAAACTACATTAGGGTGCCAAATTTTAAATTTCAGTGTGGTGTAATCCACAGTGCAAAAAAGAAAGAACAGAAATGCAGTGAACAAATTTTCCCATTTCAAAACCAGTATTTTTTCCTCTAAATCATTTTAATTTTCTATTTTTCAAAATCAGGCCTCACATCCACAAACCCAAAGTTAAGTATTATGCACTCACATAGGAAAACCATCACTGCTGATTTTGGGAAGGGAGGGGAAGAATGCTTATCTGGTACTTCAGTGAAATAAAAATTAAAAGTGAAGATTTTCAAGCAGGAGGTATAACTGGAATGTATTTCTTCTTGCAATTATTTTACCCTCCTATTAGGAAAGTAGCAGTAAAATTCTGAAATTCAATTAAAATAGTTTAAAAAGAAAATTAAAATTATGGGGCCCATTATGTCTGTTTCCAAAAAGAAGTATCCCAAATCTCAAGTTTGAAATACTCTCCCAAAGCCTACCATGACATTTAACCCCAGGAAGAAAATAGGATCTAATTGACCATATACAGAATTTCAAATAATGTCAACAGGACCTGAGGATTACAACATTTTATGTCAGAATTTAATTATGGATAAAGTCTCCTTAAACACAAACTGTGTCTCTACATGGACCTTGCCATGCACATGTGTACTTTCAAGCAAATTAAATACTAAAATGTGAATGGAGTGGCTAGAAATAACTAGTATTGAGAGCAGTCCTCCCAGTGAGAGAAATACCAAAAATAAAGTGAGCATCCAGCCCAGTAGCAAACTCTGTAGGGTAAAATGCTGTGATTGTTACCAAAATAAAATATGGGAAATTTTGCCATGGTGCAAAGCATGATAAATTTTATTACTTACAAGTACTAATTCGTGTGAGTTCTGGTGGGGAGAAAAAAAAGCAGATCCATGAAGCTGATGCATTCATATGAACAGTGAGAGGTTAAAAATGAGCATGCTAAATGGAACAAAAATAGTAACTGAGAAAAACATGCAGAATCCCTAAGCAGATGCTAAGGAAGGCCTTTGAAGCAGTTAGTATAACTAAGTCTGAAACCAATAGGCTTATGCCTATTGAAGGACAAGGGTAATTGAAGGAAACAGTGATGAAGCAGGGAAGGAGACAGAAATAACCTCAACTGGGAAAAGATGATTCTATTAAAGTGGTCTTTATCCAACAACACATTCCTTGTGCTTTTATTTAAGACTGTCATACATCTTTCTCAAAAGACTTTCTCCAACTAATAAGTCCAAATCTACAGTGGGAATTAAGGTTCCCAGGCACAGTTTGTGTTAACCCCCACACACACGAGGCTCGTGCCGACAGTGCTCACTTGTTCCTCTCACCTGTGTGTATTCTCAAGTGGACCTTTAAGTGGTGGGATGTTCTGAAAGTTTTTCCACAATATGGGCAGTCTTTCATGGCAGAACCAAGGCTCCTGTCTCTCAGTAAAGCTGGCTGCTGGACTCCTACAGATCTCCCAGCTTCTTCTCCAATGTCTGCAACACAGAAATGTTCTCACATCACTTCAGCACATGTCAGAAGTTGTTCTCACTAAAACTGCTAACACAACACAAAGTTAAACATGTCAATACTACACCTGTCTATTTCATTCTTTAAATCTGACAGAATGCTGACAATTCATGTATTTTCTTGTTATTGTCTTAAATTATTTCATCTTTCCCATCATGATTTTAAGCAGCATATGGCACCTTTATATACTGAATTATACAAGAAAAGAAACAGCTGTGTCAGCAGCTGGTTTGATTTCTTCTTTTGCTTAGTTCCTATTAATTTTTTCCCCAAAAGTTTGAGATTGTTGTTTTGTTGAATCTATTTAATTTATAAGTATTGTGAAAACCTGTAGGCTTTTAGAGGGAAAAAGTTTGCACCAGTATAATAAAACCTCCTAAAACAAGAGAATTGCAGTGAAGGGAGGTCCAACAGCAGTGAGAATGTCCACATGCAAAGCTAACCAACTCCCTCTGCAACATCTCAGCACTGGAATTACAACAGGCAACCCAGAGAGTGGCCTAATATCATGTGAAAAACAATGAAAAAACTGCTCAGATGAGGGGGAATTCCATCTCCCTCTCACCCGCAGCTCCTGTGTTTTCTCCTTCAGAGTTCACAGCTACACTTATTCTTTGCATCACAACACAATGGGTGAGACTCCAGGACACCTCTTCTCTCTCCTGATATAAAGAAACAGTCATTTCAGCCATCTTCAATGAACTGCTTTTATCCAAGCAGGCAAGGAATAAAATAACTTACCAAACACTGACATAAAAATTGTAAAAAAAAAATGTAGGGCATTAAAAAAAAAAGTCATTATTCAAACCACACAAGGCTCATCCATCATTTTGTACACAGAGGGTCATGTAATATAACTGTAAGCATCAATTCAATGTCACTATAAGCACCAATGCATGATGTCACCAAAAACCATGGCAAATGTTGAAGCTGTGACCCAGATTGGCACTCCTGGCACGTCAGGAGCAGGACACATGGACACAGCATCACACCCTGTGCAGAACTGAGCTATCTGGGTTAGATCCAGGTGGGGAGCACAGAGTTAAAACCTGCATGCAGAGTCTTGATTATTTCAACCATAAACTACTGACTAAAAATGTTCTGTCTTTACCCATTTGATATGTAACTAAAGCTGTCAGGAAACATAGTGCAGTTTACACAGCACTGCCTTTTAAAAGGAAGTAATGGGACATAAGAAAGACTTAAATATTTGGCTCTAATAAAATTTATTCTCACAGTAGCAGAGACCCAAATACCACATTTCTGGAAAAGGTAACACTAACAGGCATTTCAGATTGTATTATAAAATGGTTCCTCTAAACAATTTTGCTTAAAGCTGAAAGAAGGAGATGATAGAGCTATTAAATACATAAATATATATATACATATATATAGTTATCTCTGTCATGTATGTAATCAAGGTATTACTACTTTTCAAAATGTAAATTTGATAGTTTTCACATCACATTCTTGTTTCACATTTTCTGACTGTTCTTAGACTGCAGAGTTAAAGCATAATATTTAAGTTAGAAAGCTAGTAAATGTCATTTTGAATTATCTTCAAGTACATAAAGTTGCATGGTATAGGAGTCTATTTTGTCTTTGTGACTCTAGGAAAACATATGTAGGTGCTAGCCTATAATTCCAATATCCCTAAACAGTTCAGATTTTCTCTGTTTTCATTCCTCAAAAGTTGTATATAATTATGGCTTAAGCTTCTTTGGAAAAAAAAAAAAAATTCCTGAGTGCAAAAAGATTTTCATGAAGTGCAAAACTCAGAATGCATGATGATAAACTGCAAGATTTTATTTTGATTTTCAATAAATACTATATGAGCATTATAGATAAATATATAGATAAAGTTAACAAGCCACTCAGGAAGAAATTACAGAATAAGTCTACTAGCTATGTTTTGCTATATGTCACTCCAAATGATGGCCTGTTATCCATTTGCCTTTTATCTTTCTATCTAGAATATGTGTGGCCCAATAAAAAAGAATAAATTTGTAAGATGAACAGCTCTCTTTGCAGATTTAAGAGTCTAATTTTCACTTTACACAAAATTGAATTTTTTCAAGGGAGCAAGACGATGGAGTTTACTCTAGCACTAATCCCTCTGAAAAAGCAAACTGAAAACAACAATGAAGCAAAGAAAGATGTGGGTGGTCTGAAGAGTTCTCTTTTAGATTTAAGTAGACATACAGTAGATAGCTCCAAAGGCTTTACTCCAACAGGGGCCTTACCTTGAAGAATTTTTCTTCCCACAGTGAAAGCATTCCTAAGACTTTAAAGCTGGGCTGAGGGGTTTTCTTTTGAATTCCTCTGCCTACAAAGCCCACCGAAGCGCTGGAGGCCATCGCTACCTGAATGAGCAGCTTTACATCTAAGTTCTTTTATTCCCAACAATGAAAAGATATGTTCAAGGCTGCCGACTCTCCCCATCAAATGCTAACCCAGCTTCTTACCAGGGCCCCATTTTGCCACATTGTACCTCTTTGTCAAAGCACTTAAGTTTAAAATGTGCTTAACTTTAAAATGTGTTTAAGTCTCACTGAGTCTGCTACTGAGGTTTTCTCATATTGAGTCTCTCAGAAGTGATCTGTGGAAACTAAGGATGAAAAAAGAAGAGACTGACAAGAAAAAAGAAGAAAACTGAAGAATACAGACTATGCCAACACCAGAATATGTGGGGAATGAAAAATCCTCAGCTTTACCAATAATCACGTATTCTATACCTCTGATCTCCCCCTTCTCCTGTTATTGAAAGTGCCTTCACAAGCAGGAAGCACAATTTAAGTTAAATTGTGCAAAAACATAGCAAAAAGTAGTTTTACAGAATTGCAGAAATAGGATTGACCTCCACAAATTAATTTATTATTTACTCAGGATTTTAGCTATGGTTTTGGGGGCTTCTCAATTCTGAGGATAAAAGATCAGGAAGGAAAGAGAACAGTTACTTATCATACAGCCATTGTGGTTCCCTGATTTATGTGGTCTATATGATGTGCATTTGATGCACGTGGGATTACACTGCTTTTTTTACTATCCATTTCCATTATAGGCAGGTCGGCATCCTGAATATCTTCCTGCCCATCCCAACCTTTCCTGATTAAAGTGCAGGAAATAAGAGACTGAAGTATGATATAGATGTACACACTAGATGTGAGACTTCCCAGCCTTGCCTCTGAACTTACTCTCGCTGAGCTTTCATTTCACTTTGTAAGTGTTTGTTCACAGCAAAAGTCCCGGACAGAAATGTGAAAAGCAACATTCAGTTCTAAATATGAAACTGGTTTTTGTGCCAGTCTAGGGACAAGGAACAGCTGAGAGTCCCCAGCTGCTCCCTGTGCTGTACCTGCTGGGCAGGCAGAGAGCACTCCATGACACAGGACAGAGCAATTCAGCCACAAAGCAGCTTCTGGGGAGGTATGACAGGGACATCTCTTGTACACCATGCCTCAACTGCACTTAATGTGACTGTGCCCATGTTCTTGTGGGGTAAATGCAAGGAAAGAAAGTTCACTTCAACATCTGTATCAGAAGGTGGTGATTAACTGCATAACCAAAGAGCCAATTCGGCCAAAATGTGAGCAAATTGATTTGGCACGCAGACTGACATAAAAATTAACCAGTCCATAAGATCAGTATTTGAGGGAGTGCCCTTCTTCAGACAGATACCCTGCTCTCAGGAGAGAAGGGCCTAAAAGCCACCACTCCTCATCTAGCAGGGGGATCAGGCTGGTTCCACATCACTGCCACAGGCAGAAAGAAAGATTCCACAGAGACACATAATCCCAACAAACAGTTCTAGAGCCAGGAGCACTTTCACAGTAGAAGGTTAAAAGAAAGTGAGAAAGACACCAGTGAATGCTTTTTTACAATCAATATCTTACTGCTAGTTATCAGAAATGGTCTAGCCAGACGTGAGCCAGACCACAGCCAGCAGTGCCCTCAGCACACAGATACAGATGCCACAGAGGAGAAATGCCAACTTGAGTGGATGTTGCCAGAAAAGAGAAGACAAACTTAGATGGATAGTGAGTCTCTGTACTCAAAGCAGAATCTATGTAGGCAGTCTTACGAAGAGCAAAAGGAAACAAATTCTTAGACATTTCCACATATATTCTGTATGACTGGTCCACCTGTCTGGAATGAGCCCATAAACATGATTAGAAAAGGGTGGATTGCTTTGTATAAAGAAAACTGTTTTCACTTGGTTAGGCAGCAGCACTGATTTCAATCACGATAGCAATCAAATTCTGAAAGGAACATCTACATATATGTGCCACAAATTTCACCAGAGCCTTTATTTGCTGCGTGTATGTGAAGGTGCAGGGATCCACAAAGACGTGCTTTCATGTTCAAATGAGCTAAATTGAAGCCCTCATGAAGCCTAAATCATCAGTGAAGTCAGCTGGAGTTTGTCGACATAAGGTTTGCCAAATTAGCCAAAAACAGGCAATCACATGGAAAAGGTAATCAACTCACAAAATAGGTAATCAGTCTTACAAGTACGTGTTTGGTCTTGCACAATTTTCAACACTATTAAAGAACCATTTGAAAATGTGGCCAGAAGCCTTTAAAACTGCACATAATCCCAGGTTTTCATATAATTCTGAAATTCAGAATATTTGTAGTTCTTCAAATCTGTCTGTGAAAGTTAATGAAACTTGGTGCAACAAGAAGTGGTACTGACCAAAGCTATTTTTTGATGACCCATTAACCATCCAGATTAGCCTATCTTGTGGCAGGAAATCCAATGTCAAGAAAGGAGTTAGAAGATATTCAGTGTGTTAATCCTGTCACTGCTGTGAGCTTCTCGTAAGTATGCCTGAACTCAACCACCTCATTGCCTGGGAAGCAACACAGAATATGCCAACTTTCTGGGAAAACATGCTTTACCTTTCTTGCCTATTCCTAAGAGAAAACCTTGATAATACTGAAAACAGTGGAAAATAGGAATATA